CTCTCTCTAGCCCTTCGCCCACCCATTGAGAAAGCAAACAATATATTGATTTTATATGTGGAGTCATACAAAACATATATCCGTATTAACCATGTTACCAAAAAAGCAAGAAAAATAAAGTGAAAAAAGATAGCTTCAATCTGCACTCAGAGTTCATCAGTCGTCTCTCTGGAAGTGGATAGCCTTTTTTCATCATGGATCCTTTGAAATTGTCTTAGATCATTGTAATAATTAGAGTAGCTAAATCTTTCACAGTTGATCATCATTATGATATGGCTATTACTGTGTGCAGTGTTTTGATTCTGCTAACTTCACTTTGCATTGGTTCATATAAGTCTCCCCAGGTTTTCCTGAAAGCATCCTGTTTGTAATTTCTTATAGCACAATAATATTTCATCATAATCATACAGTACAACTTGTTCAGCCAATACCCAATTGATGAACATCTTTTCAATATCCAATTCTTTGCCACCACAAAAAGACATGGTATAAATATTTTTGTACAGTCTTTTTCCTTTTTTAAAAAAATCTCTTTGGGATACAGACCTACTGGTGATGTTTCTGGGTCAAAGGATATGCAATTTTATAGCCCTTTGGACATAGTTCCAAGTTATTCTCCAGAATGGTAAGTTTATGATTCCACCAACAGTGCATTAGAGTATCTATCTTAGCCAATCTGATAGGTGTGAGGGAGTACCTCAGAGTTGTTTTAATTTGCCTTTCTCTCATCAATAGTGATTTAGAGCATCTTTTGTGTGTGATTCTTGATAGTTTTGATCTCTTCTTCTGAAAACTGCCTGTTTATATCCTTTGACCTTTTATCAATTGAAGAATGGCTCTTATTTTTTATAAATTTGTCTCACTTCTTTATATATTTGAGAAATAAGGTCTTGGAGAGACCATCTTCCCTTCTGTTATTAATATCATTCTCACAGGATTATTTGCTTATGTTCTAAGTTTTTAACTGAGTTTTCTTTCTTCTGAGATCTTTAGTTATTCTGGTCTTTTCCCCTGGCTTTCTGATTCTTTACCCTTTAATGGTGGATCATCAAAGGACGGACATCTTCTCATTTTGGGAAATTCACTTTTCATCAGCCTGTTTCTGCCTCAAGAGACGTTTGGCAGGGAGGGGGGGTTTGGGGGAAGGGACAGCATTGGTGTTATCCAGATATCAGTTTCCTTTCCTTCAGGTCTATTGTAGCTCCATTCAAATGTGAGCAACCTGCTGTAGTATCTGCTGTTCCTTAATTCTCAGGCTGAACACTGATGCAGTGCAGTAGGCTGTTGCCCAAGGCAGAGCATTTCTATTTTCTTGTACCTTATTTTAATTAAGGTAGGCTAGGCACTCAGATAATAATATTGGTTGAAACGATGTCTCAAATAAAAGTAGGATTATTGCTCTAGAGCAAGAGTTCTTATGTCTATAGATAGCTTTGATTTCCTCATCTGAAAACAGCCTGTTCATATCTTTTGACCAAATATCAATTGTGGAATGACTCGTATTCTTATAAATTTGACTCAATTCTTTATATATTTAAGAAATGAGACCTTTATCAGAGAAACTTGATGTAAATTTTTTCCCTCAGTATCCTGCTTTCCTTTTAATCTTAGCTGCATTGATTTTGTTTGTGCAAAGCCTTTTTAATTTAATGTAATCAAAATTATTCATTTTATATCCTGTAATGCTCTCTCTCTCGTTTGGTCATATATTCTTCTCTTAACCAAAGATTTGGTGGGTAAACTAATACATATAGAGCAGGAGTTCTTAACCTTTTTTTGTATCATGGACCCCTTTGGCAGCCTGGTGAAGTCTGTGGACCTCTTTTCAGAATAATGATTTTAAAATGTAAAAAGTAAAATACAGAGGATTACAAAAAGTTCAGTTTTATTTTATTTGCAGTTTTTAATTCTCTCTCTCCCTCTTCTTCCATTCCTTTATCCATTAAGAAGGCAAGAAAAATAAAATCTGTTATAGATTTATATAATTATGCAAAAGATATTCCCACAATTTAAAAAAAATCAGTTTTCTTTTATCAATTATGTAAGATTACAAGGGATAGAAAAAAACAGTTCAAGGAACCCTGATAGGACTTGAAGAGTTCTTTCAGGCTATGTACTACAGCCTGCATGTTATACATATGAAGAAATTGAGGCCCAGGAAAGCTAATCAACTTTCCCACTGTTGCACAGACAGTGAACATTAAGTCTAGAATTTAAGCTCCTAGTACCCTGCCTCCAGAACCAGTGGTCTTTCCACTATAGCATGTTATTTCTCTAATCAAGAGCCTGGAGAAGGAAGGCAGGTTTCCTTTGAATATTAGTACACGAGTTTTAATGTCTTATCTTTGTTACATCAATTTGGACTATTTAAAAGCCTTTTCTACCTACTTTATGGTTCTGTTATGTTCTTCATTGTTGTGGTTGTCATGTTAGAGACCTCTAGACAAAAGGAGGATTTTCATAATAGTATTTTCAGACTATAGCAATCCTCACTAATAATTTCTTTCAAATATATTTCTTTCATCATATAACAGTTGTAATTAAATAGCAGTTTACAGATACAATTCACAATTTGCTTCAAGTTTTATTAATTTAAAAAAAATCACCTGTTTGGCCAAGAGTTAACTGTATCACTTTCTTTTTTTTTTTTTTTTTGGGTAGAACCAATAAACCTGAACCCATGCTACATTTTTCTTATATAAAATAGAATTTACCGAAAACTATATTAATTACATTTTTTGGATCTATATATGTGCATATTCATGATATACATTTAACCAAATGAACAGTCTTGTTTGTCTCTTTGATGTAAATGAATCAGCTGAATGAAAGTGTGAGGGCAGAGCACACCTTGGGTAAAATGATTTTCCTTATATTCACCTTATACATGACTTTGAATTTGCCTGTGAAATGATTTCCCATAAAATGCTGCAATATTAATCTGTGGATCCTTTAAATTGGTCTGTTTTTTTTTTTTTTATTGTTGTTGCTGTTGGAGAGCAGATTCTGCCTTTGATTGAAATGGAATCTTCCACTATTTATCAAGTCTTTGTTGAATGAGTCATCCAAGCTGCCTCTTATTGGCTGAGGTGGTTAGTTCCCAAGGGATTGCCTGGCAGAGGCTGCAAGACCCTGCTTCATTCACAGAAATATTGGCTTGCTAGCTAGCCCTTTCATTCATAGAAACAGAATTTCATTCACATTTTGTTGTTTTTATCTGCTTCTAATGAAGAGAACTGTTTGGGAATGACAGGGAATTTTGTTTTCCCTTTGGATAACAGTAGAAATAATCTATCGTGTGTGTGTATTTGCTGTTGCTATGATAGCAAGGGGAAGGAAAAAATGAATTCTGTGCCTATGCTGTAGGAGGTTTGCGACATGATGATGAAAGGTGATTCTGCAGCTCACTAGAAACTTGCTTTTAGGTTGAATAGGACATTTCTATTATTCATCAATCCTGGAATCAGACTTGTTGGCTTCCTTTACTGTGCTACAAATTACTCTAATTAAATACAATTATTTAAAACTGTTTAAATGGCTTATATACTGCAGCTTTTTGCTCACAGTTATTGAGGAGACCCTCAAAATGACTTAATAACATGCTGTGGTGAGTCTCACTTATTTTAAAAGGAAATTGCTCATTTTTAAGACTATTTTTATTTTTTTGCCTGTACTCTGCATGCTCAAAATTAGTAAAGCTAATTCCACGTTAGAAATTACTGGGGAATTTTTTGAATCTGCACTGGACCTTTCTAGTAGAGGGAATTTCCCATTTGTTTTTATCAGATGGGAGAAGGAATGCAAATTTTTATCTCAAACCTGACATCTGACTTTTCAAGAGAAAGGATTTTCCTGTGGATTATATGCATAATGAAAGCAAGAACATTTTTCCTCCTTACTGACTACAGGACATCAAGATACAACTGAAAGAAATTTGATTTTTAAAAATTCTGTTTCCTAGTAATTTTTATGGTCTAAACAACAGAAACATTCAAGTGGTATTGAGCTCCACATAAAGTTCTTTCTTTGGGATGAATTTCTGTGGAGAAAAGGCATATTATTTCTGAAGCTTGTTGCCATGTTTAGGAAATGTTTTTCTTTCGATATATGTACTTAATTTACTGGATAAGGAAAAAGGGACTATTATAGCTTATTGAGAGAGATAAGTGCTGTGCAAAGGTCAGATGCAGACATTTTCTTAAGAAACTGCATTGCCACAAGACACTTGTTATGGCTGCTCTGCTGTTTTGGGGTGTGGTATGGTGGGGAGAAGGAAATTAGTATTTTCTTTTTACCTAGAGGAGCATTTTTCCTTACTTTTATTTTAAAACTGTGATTCTAAATCATCAGGGCTTGAGGAAGGTCTTTTTTCTTAAAAGTACTTTTCATATTCTGAAGTATACTGTTGAATACGTCAAAGACTTATAAAGATGAGTTGAGTGGGATAGTTTTAACTCCCGAGGCAGAATTACAGATTTTTAGGAAGTTAATTCAACAAATTTAATTGTTCTAATATGATATGATCTCTGGGTGGGCATGTTTCACTGAGGTACTGGCTTTACTTCTGTTATCAAAACAATCAGGGTTCAAGGAAGGTGAGAAATAAAAAAAAGGAAGGAAATATCTTTTGAGAAAAATAGGAAAAAGGAAATTGGAGAATTTTGAGAATTGATTGGTTCTGGTGTGCTGTAAGTGGGTGGATATGCTTTTTTTTTTTTTTTTTGCTACAGGAAGTTGTAAGTGATTTGCTGTGTTCACTGAGCCTTTGTTGAAGAGGGTCTCCTCATTTGTGTGAGTCATGCTTTTACTGTGAGAGACTTGGCAGCTAAGCAGGATTGGAATCTCTATCAGAAAACTATTACTTTTGCTAGTCTATGGAACCATAGGCAGTTTTGCTTTTGTTTTATTTTTGAAGGAGTGTGGAACAATTTTCTTCTCCTTTTCTTCCTTCCTTTAAAGACTTTTGCGGGGGGGAAGCATCCCAATTTTATTGTCCTTACTCAATTATTATGTATTGTCTGCTATGAGAGAACAGGTGTTTTCTGGGTTGGCATCAGCTCTGCCAAAACATATACAGGAAACCAGATAGAAGGGCATGCGTCAACATACCAAGTATAACCGCTTCAGGAATGATTCAGTGACATCAGTTGATGAACTTATCCTCAATTTGTCCACGAACACCAGCAAGGTCTCAACAATTGCCACAACCTCAGCAATATCATCCTCATATGTGGTTTCAACCAAGGTTCTCCATAAAGACCAGGAGGATGGACCCACCACGCTTTGTACTCTCAAACATAAAGTATCTCACTTGAAATTCTCCAGCTCCAGCAACCTTTTGGGCATCAAAAGCCTGCCTTCTGCAGTGAAGGACCTTGCTGTTTCCAAGTTGCCAGGCAGCTTGAGTGTTTCTAGCTCAGCATCAGGCGCTTCAGACAACACATGTAACCTTGTCTCTGCCACTCTGTGTTCTCAGCAGAACACAAGCAAGATGAGCACAGGGAAAAAATTTCAGTCAGAGGAGATGCAACTAGGAGGTGAAGTCTGCAATTCAAATAGCATTTTTGTCAATAAGCCTTCTGGAGGGTGGCTGCATTCAAATGAAAAGATCCTGGGACCTGGTGTGACGTTTGAAGTGAAGGTTGGTTTGCTTTCTTTCCATTCTCCCTTTTTATCAATGAAAATGTCCATGCTAGTTTCCAGGATAGATTGGTGAGGCTGCAATAGTCAGTCTTTACCTATTATTTTCCCATATGTGCTGCACAGGTTAGAAGTAAAAAAAAGCAGACTTAGGAAAATTACCATTAATTGTCACATTAAGGAAGGAGAAACATGTACTTTAACTCTTAGCAGTCAGCATGTTTTTGCAGCGGTGTTGGGAGAAATGCAGAGGTGTCTTCTCAAATACACAGACGCACATATGTTGTATATGCATATATTTACATATATAGCTGTTTCATTAAATCCAAGCTTTTAATTTAATGTAGTTTATTTTTATATCTCATTGTCACATAGTTATTCAGTATGTCTGCTAAAATTTCTCATCAAGGAGCAGACCTACCTTTGCATATAAAGAGAACTTATTTGTTATCTAGCAGGTTTTAAAATAAAAAATATCTATAAAGAAATAATTATGGTAATCATTTTGAATGAAATGGAATAAAACATATTGTCACTGTAATCAGTTATGGTTTGCCAAGTCAGTTGGTGCTTTTATTTTTTTCCTCATAAAGAGAATTATTATCTTTGCTTAGTGGAGCAAAATGCTTTAAATGAGAGATTGAGTTTCTCAAATAGCAGGATTTTTCGTAGCGTGTGTGTGTATTTCATTTGAGCACTTATGTTTTGTGTTCAGAACAGCTAAACTTGAATGTGGGATGAATTTTTGCAGCTATTATCTTCAGAAAGCATTTAAAAGCCTGGTTTAAATAGATTGGAAGGAGTGAGGCTTAGGAAAGCTGGCAGAAGAGTCTAGTTTTCATTTTCCAGTGGAATAGCTATAAGAGCACAATCTAATTCTTAACAGTTTAGCCATTCCAGCAAAATTTCCTAAAATGCATTCTAAATAAATCTTGATTAAAAATCCAGGTTGAAAAAAATACTAAAGTGTTGTTATTCCAAGGTACTGATTTTTATTTGAAAGGGAATGAAAATAATTTGTCTCTCTACTATATATGACATTGAGAAACCAGTAGGATATTTGTTCCTAAGTGATGGCTGAATATAGTTTAGAATAGGCTACTTCAAATTTCAGTTTGCATGACTTCTTTATTACAAAACAGGGTCTTTGTTATGATTATTTTTGAGGGCCAAAAATATTGAAGGAATTACTTTTTGAATCAGGTATGGACAAAACAGTTTTCTCTAAAACCCAACTGTTTGGGTATTGCAAATATATTTTTTCTTACTATTTTGAGTTTTATATTAAAATGTATTATTATTATATCTGAAAATGAATCACTCTGTTTTGGTACCAATGGCATTTCATCATAAAACAGGCAGATGATAACTTTTGAAATTAAATATTTTTGATTAAATTTATTTTATATAGAATAATTATATAACTTGAATAATAAAATAGGCATACATTTTGACCTTAGTTTAAAAGTTAATACCAGAGTGGATTATTCTAAGAATACTAATATAATTATAATTTTAAATAAATCACACTATGTTTAAATTATACATTGGAAAAGATTTCTAGATATGCATCGTTGTGGAGTAGTGGAAAATCTCCTAAAGAGTTCAGAATAACTAGGTTCAAGCTGACTCTGATACTTGCTACTTTAGTCAAAGCATTTAGTCTTATATTATTTTCTTCATATGTAAAACACACAAATGGGACTAGATGATCTCCAAAATCCCTTCCAGTTTTAAATCTTATGATCTTATGATTTAATTAACATATGATTAAAAACAGTTGAATTTATGGCATTTCTGGTTCAGTTGTCCTTTACTTTTGAGAACATAGAAAACTATACTTTCAATATTTTTCCCTTTAAAACAATGTTAACTTTTTCTTTTATTCTTGTTTCATACAATGCTGAGCCATACCAATAGTATTAACAGCCAAAGTACTAAAAACAAGATAGCTACAAATAGTAAATCAATAATTAGTGTATAGGGTTTTTTTTTTTTAAAGGCTATCCTTGCTAGGAAGCCAGCTACACTAGATACCTCCACTTTCTTCTCACTTGCTTCTAAATTCTTCATAATCTAGTTTCTGACCTCATCATTAAAGTGAAACTGCTCTCTCCAAAGTCACTAAAGATCTCTTATTTGACAAATCTCCATTTTTCTTAACTTTTCTGCAGCCTTTGACACTGCTGATCTCTCCTTTCTGCAGGATACTCTCTCTTTTCTAGATTTTCATGACACTGCTGTCTCCTAGTTTTCTTCCTACCTGTATGACAGTTTCTCAGTCTGTATTGCTGTATCTTCATCCAGGTAGCATCCAGTAATTATGAGTACCCTAAAGGCTCTGTCTTGGGCTTTCTTTTCTTCTCCTAATACTATCTTACTTAGAAATCTCATCAGCACCCATGAATTCAAATATTTTCTTTCTGCAGGTGATTCCAAAAGCTATTTATCTACCAAAAGTTCTTCTCATGATCTACTTTTTTGCATCTTTGAAGTATGTGCTTTGGACACCTTTTGGACATCTCAAATTTTCCTATACTTATTATGTCAATTTCTTTTTCTTTCTTTTTTTTAGGCAATTGGGGTTAAGTGACTTGCCCAGGGTCACACAGCTAGTAAGTGTTTGGTCCGAGGCCAGATTGTCAATTTCTTTTTCTTGTCTTATTGCTATAGAATGCATTTTTAGCCTATGTTGAATGGTGATGATGAATAGACATCTTTACTTTGCTTTACCCCTGATCTTATTGGAAAGGTGTCTAGTTTATTTCTATTACAGCTATTGTTGTCTTTTAGTTATAGATAGATACTACTTATCAAATTAAGGCAAGATAAGTTTATTTTTATGTTTTCTAGTGTTTTTTTTTCTTAACAAGAATAGTTCCTTCATCTTATAAAGAGCCTTTTTGCATCTTTTAATACAGCCATATTTTTTTGTTCTTGTGATTTATATATTCAGTTATTTTTAATAGTTTTCCTAATGTTGAACCAGTCCTCTACTTTCGGTATAAGTCTGCTTGATCATGGTGTATAATCTGTGTGATATATTGACATAGACTTCTTGTTATTGTTTTATTAAAAATTTTTACATCAACATTCATTAGGGATATGAGACTATAGTTTTCTTTCTTTGTTTTGATTTTCTGGTTTAAGTATCAGAATCATATTTGTCATAAAAGATAGTATTAGAACCTTTTCTTTTCCTAATTTTTCACAATTTTCATCGTGGGGGATTAATCATTCTTTAAATGTTTGATAAAATTTACTTGTAAACGCATCTATCCTGTTTTTTTTTCCCTTCATGAGTTTCTTTATGGCTTATTCAATTTCTTTTCCTAATGTTGGGTTATTTAAGTACTCTACTTTCAATTCTATTAACATGAACATTTTATATTTTTGTAAGTTTGCATCCGTTTCATTTAGATTGTCAGTTTTATTGGCACATAATAAGGGAAGTAGTTTCAAATAATTTCTTTTGTTTCTTCATTGGTTGGAATTCACTCCTTTTATTTTATTCTTCCCCATTACATGTAAAAACAATTTTAAACATTTTTTAAAGTTTTGAGTTCCAAATCTTTTCTCTCCTTCATTTCTCCCCTCCCTGAGACAGTAAGCAATCTTATGTAGGTTATACATGTGCAATCATGTAAAACATTTCCATATTAGTAATTTTGTGCCAAGAAGACTCACTCTTCCTGCCCTTTCCATTCTTCTCTTAAGATAATCAAAATATAACAGAGTCACTCTCAAGCCCTCTGTCTAATAAGACTCCTTTTGTGACCACTGATACTGATAGAGTTCTGAGGAACTATATGTTTCACCTCCCCATATTAAAATGTAAACTGTTCAGTCCCTTATGATTGCTTTTCATGTTTATCTTTTTGTATTTCTCCTGACTCCTGAGTTTGTATTTTAAAGTGCAACTCTGATCTTTTCATCAGGAATGTGTGTAAGTTCTCTATTTTATTAAAGCTACATTTTTCCCCTTGTAGGATTGTCCTATATTTTGCCAGGTAAGTTATTCTTGGTTATAGGCATAGATCATTTGCTTCTTGGAATATCATCTAAGCTCTTCTCTCTTTTGGAATTGTGACTCTCAAATCTTTTGTAATCCTTAATGTATCTTCTACATGCTTGACTTCTTTCTTTCTGGCTATTTATAATATTTTTCTTTGACCTGGAAGCTCTAGATTTTGGCTGTAATATTCCTGGGAATTTTTATTTGGGGGTTTCTTTCAGGAGGTTACCAGTGAATTTTTTCTGTTTTGCTTTTTGCTTCTGAGAAATCTTGGCAGTTTCCTTTTATGATTTGTTGAAATATGATGTCTAGGATGGTTTTTTTTTTTAAGCCATAGCTTTTAGGTAATCCTCAAATTAGGTAATTAAATTAAATTAGGTAATTCTTAAATTGTCTCCCTTTGATCTATTTTCCAGGTCAGTTTATTTTTTGCTCTGAGATACCTTACATTCCTCTCTGCATCTCTATTTTTCAGTCTTTTGTCTTCAACATTTCTTGTTTTATCATGGAGTCATTACCTTCTATTTGGTCAATTTTAGTTTTCAGGGAGTTTTTTTCTTTGGGTAAAGTTTTAGACATCTTTTTCATAATTGTTCATTTTTTACCCAAATCTTTTCCCATAGTTCTTATTTCTTTTCCCATTTTTATCCTCTAAGGCTCTAATTTGATTTTAAAAATTGTTTTTAACTCATTTTTTTAAATAATTTAAATTTGCTTTATATATATGTGTGTGTATATATATATATATATATATTAGGCAATTGGGGTTAAGTGACTTGCCCAGGGTCAGACAGCTAAGTAAGTGTCAAGTGTTTGGTCTGAGGTCGGATTTGAACTCAGGTCCTCCTGACTTCAGGGCCGGTGTTCTATCCACTGCTCCACCTAGCTGCCCTTGCTTTATATTTTTGCTAAATTACTTCATCTCCCAGGAATTCTGGATGGCTTTGTATATAAGGTGTATTTTTTTTTTGAAACTTTTCTAGGTT